AAATAGCAGATATCAATCTGAAAGTTCCTTTCAAAATCTATTAAAATTTCTTAAAAATTTTGCAATGATATAACCCGGCCAGAACTGATAAGAAAGCCTTTGACTTGAGCTAGTAGCGCAAGACGTTAATAAGCTTTTTGCTTGGCACTTTATTATATTCATTTAATAATGAGATTCATTTATGCCGCACGAGCAATTTTTATAAACATATGACGACAGTTTCCGAACTCTACCCATATATTTTTTTTTTGCTCGCATTTAAAAAAGTATGTTAACAATTCAAGCGATAATAGAAGGAAATGGAGAACAACTTTTTATATGTGTTATTTACATATGTCTCTTTTTTAATGTTAAACAGGTGTTGCGAACACATAAATTTCACATTCTACATAATAATTTAAGTAATAAAAATATCAATTCAAATAAATATCCAATTCAATGAAATCAATTTTCAATAAATTTAAAATGTAATAAAAAAAAAAAAAAACACATTAACATATCAAGTGTAACAATTAATCAAATGTGAAAATGATCGAAGCGAAATTCGATTGACATCAAATAGTTAACACTTTTGTGCATAAGTAATTACACGCACACATTGTCGTTTAAATAATAATACATTCTCTTACGTCTGGGTATTATAAACAAAATAAACTACATTTCATGAATGGCATATATAAGCGCCACTATCCATTGTATAGTAAAATACTGTTCAACCCAGATATATGCATATATATAGTCAATGGACAATACCAATAATAACAATAGAAATAATAATAAAAATCTCAATAATATATTGCTGAAAACAATTATGATCTCTGTAGTGACCAATAACTTTAATATTTTCAAAGGGTAAAGAGTGCGGATAAAACAAACTTACAAGCAAGCAATCAAAAACCACATGTTATAATCTGTGCAGTCCAGCAACTCAGATCAACAAGTAAAAAAAAAAAAACAAGTAAGGAAATTATATTCGACTAAGGCCGAATCTTTTACACCCATAAACTTTATATTAAAAGAGAATATGTAACGTTTTTTCGGAGCAGTTTACTAATACAGAGCATTTCTTTGCTTTCTTACTTGATGTTGGCCTGTGGTCATTCCCCTTGACCGATTGGGCTTGAACTTGAAATATTTCTGCCAAATTTGGAGCGATTACCTTCATTTTTGCGATCAGAAGAATGTTTGACCCAGACAGACGAACAGACGAACTTGATGCTTACTTAGAATATACAGAGTTTATGAAGCCTCTACAGCGTCTTTCGGGTGTTCTAAACGTTATGGCAAAACGAATCCATCTCCATCCTTCAGTGGTATTATTTATAGCTGATTAACTAATTTATGAATTTAAAGTAAATATTTATATAACTCTTATTAGCTATATATTATAGCTTATGGTTTTCTCATCCTTGCATTAAATTTGACCAACATTCGCTTTAGAAATCAATAATTTTTCGCAGTTTGTTATTTGCTGGGAACGCGTTTCCGATTTTATCGTATCCAACTCTGGCCATAAACATGTATATAGCACATTTTATTTTAAGAATTTTTACGCATTAAATGGCTTTTGCTAAGCCAGGAGCAAATGATGCCACCAAAGGTAGAAATGCTCCACGAAAAACAAAACCACATTGATTGTTAGCGTTATGAGAAAAATGTACCATATTTTAACGTTCGCTCTCAATTCCAACAACAGTTGGCGGAGACGCACCATATTGGCGGACAGACAAACACGAATTTATTTACCGATCTTTGACCAATAATATATGTAATTTAAAAAACTTCGAATGTTTAATTGTAATGCGATAATATTGTATTATATGTATATCTTCCTTAATTTAGTACTGCGTTTACTATTCATCGGAAATAGGAAAATTTTTAACTTCATGGCAGCACCTGCGAAATATTACCGAACTAATTTTTTTTTTTTTTTTTTTTTTTACTTTTAAAGTCAGAGTGGTTACCATAATTATGTGTACAATAGACTTTTTTATCAAATGTTTCCTAATTAACTATAGTTAAGAAGTTATTATTAACGAATGAAAGTAAAGTAAGCCTTGATATGTTGACATAGATTCGTGCTTCTCAAGTACTAGGTTGTACAATAGCGTCAAAACTTATTTTAATATTTGGAATGAAAAAAAGAGTTCCGACTAACCACATTTAATACAAAATCTAAAATTTGCATACGTATTTTATCTCTGATCCGTGAACATATGAGCAGACGTTTGAACAAATATTCATAACTGATGGATCCACCAACTTCTTTCTTCAGATTTGACTCCAGCGATTGTTATCTATATATATATATATATATATTCCGTGTGTTCTTATGGTAGAGAGTTGTTGTGCTAATTGTGTCATTCCTGCAGGACACTATATTGATTTAAAAAAAAAAAAAATGGTTTTCTCTTATTTGCTCAAAGGTTCGATGTTTCACTATTTGTTTTTTTTTTTTTACAATTAATGTTTTTTTAACTTGTTTGAAACGATACATAGAAATGACAAATTATTAACAATTCGTAGGTAGGTCGACCGACAAGAAAGACTCAAAATAATGTGTAAATATTCGCTCTTACCTGATTGCGTATTTCCTTCCTCTGGAGAATTCCCAAAGAAGAATTACTTTTCATTTCAAAAAGTTTTCTTTAAAACATACATTCAGCTCTAAAGTGTTTTCTAGAAGAGTGCGCGAGTTAATTTTCAAACGTCTATAACAGCAACAAAAAGAAATAATTAATAATCACAAACTTGGTAAAGTCCCCGTATATAGTTTTTGAAACTTGTTTCAATTTCTTTACAATTTATTACTAAAAAAAACGTTTATTAATTTTTATTATTAATTCACTTAGCAAATTCTCGTTTGCAAACTGAAGCACAGACATGATAAAACAAGTACTTATCAAAGCAGTGATATCAACATATCGGTACTGATTAATCAAATTTAACGCGTTACTCTTTATGACACAATGATTTACTCCTTTTTTGCGCAGACCTTGCATTGTAGCTTCAGTGCAAATTCACACGCGTTGTGAACGTTATAAATGGTGAAAAAGCTGCATTCGTTTTAAAAGGTATCACGGCGAAGGTAGAAATTTATTACTTTGAATAAGTTTTAACAGAAATATATTTGAATTATCTAATTCGGACAAAAGAATTGATGCTAAATGAAGACAAAATTTGTTATTAAGAAATTTCTTTAGAGACTCGAGCATAACATATGCAAACGATTAGAAAATGCCGTTTCAGGTCAGGCATTACCTAATCAGTTGAAAACATGTAATAAAAACGGTTTTTTTTTTTTTGTTGCAAGAAAAAAGAAGACAAAAAGGATTTGGACATTATATTATAAACGCCAAGATAGCCCGCCATCGCTAATAAGAGGACTAAGATTTGTTTGTTTTGCAGAACTAAACATATTTAGGAGCCAGACGAAATTCTAAGCCATCTTAAGTAACTCCCCATATTTGTCTTTTAAATGAATCAGTTAACTTCACAAGCAATGAATTAGAAAAACTAAAATATTTCTTTTAAAATTCATTTACATAAATTGCATTACAATGAAAGACGCAACTATGAATAGTAAATTAATCCGACAACCGTCTGCTGTAGCTCCGCTCTTATCATAAAGAATAGTACCGTGTACATAATGCATTGCGGTAAAAACTGCCCTTGCTTTTGCTTTACCCTTATCACAGCGTGCCATTAAATCATCAGTTATATGAATATGAAATGGAATACAATGCATTATCGCTGATTCCAAATAAATATGATGGCCATTGCAATCAAAGTCACGTGGTGAAGTTAGCGTTATCTCGTCACATTTAGTTAAATCACTGTAACCATGCGAGATCATGTAATAACCTTCATGACCATCCAGTGCAAAAATTGTATAGCTGAGACCTTCTTCAACGTATTTATCATCATATATCTGTTTAATTCGCTGCGAATAACTGTCCGTGCAGATGATCTTCAATTTTAAGTTATTTAGAACTTGGCAGCGTGAACTTAAATTCCCTGAGTAATCGCAACCACCGAAATTGCAGAGAATACAAAGCAATAAAAAAATTTTAATATTTACGGCGGATAGAGTCATTTTAATTTTTTTTTTTTGTTTTTCATCTATATTGGTTTCTCTGAAAATGGAAAAAATTTTTTGGCTTTTCTTTCCACTTTTTCCCCTTTGTTCTTAATAATTCATGATAGTTCGAATTTCGAAAACAAAAATACGAATTTGATTTTGAAAAACCAAAAAGAAAGAGACATAAGGCTTAAGAACAAAGGTATTTTGTTTATCAATTTTGTACAAGTAATGTTTATACCATAAAGCATTTTTATCTTAATCATTGGGAAATTCAATATTTAAACATGTGCGTTTCAAGGTGCTTAGGTAATGGGCTTTTTAAAAAAATTAATCAAGCTCATATAAAGCCAGCAAGTGAAGATTCCATTTATAAGAAGGACTATCTATTTCCCAAATTTATTTAATCTAAGTAGCAATGAAAATGTATGATAATAATTTAATTAATTAAAATAATTGAAATAATTTTTGTAGCATACGTTCTTTTTTTTTTTTGGTGTTTTTTTCTTAAGCGAGTCAGGTATATGTTTTGAATGCATTAACATTTGACTTTGGAAAATTTACGTCTTCCATGGGCGACAATGGAATAACATGAATAACATCTTATATAACATCTCGTATCATCGAATCAAACAAATGAGGATTATTCTTATTTCGCTGCAGATGTATGGGCAACACTTTATTGTAACCGCAAATGGAATTAGCAGCATTAAGATCCTCAAAAGCGCTCTGAGGATGTTTGAAAATTTTTCTTAACAAAAAGGTGCTTAAAAAAGCCTGTTAAGAGTCAACGTTGAGACGTGTGCTTGGCGAACGACTTTTCTTAGATGCGACGCATATCTTACTTATTATATACATACAAGGAATCAAAGAGAATGGCTATGTTCTGATTGATCGTTCAGTTCGGGATTACGAACTGCATTGAGTAAGATAAATAACAATTTTGTTTACTTTACTAGAACTTTTAACTTTTTTTTTTAATAATCCGCAGCTTAATGTATTTGTGGATCTCTCTTTTAATATTTTTAGCTAAGTACAAGTGGCATGATAATAACGTACAAATTTTTCTTTTACATTAATTGCATTAAACTAAAAGGTAGAAATATGAATAAACCAATGTGCATTAGCCGGGAGCCGCCTGCTACAGTGTCGCTCTCCTCATAGAGAGTGCTACCTTCTACATAAAGCATTGCGGTAAATTCTGCCTTTGGCTGTTTTACACCTTTCAAACAATGCGAAATCAAATCATCGGTTAGATGAACAGGGAATAAAAGACAATGAAGTCTCGCTGATCTTAAACGAATATCTTGGCCATTGCATTGAAAATCACGTGCTGAAGTTAGCGTTATCTCGTCACATTTAGTTAAATCACTATAACCGTGCGAAATCAAGTAATAACCTTCACGGTCATCCAATGTGAAAACCGTATAACTAAGACCAGTTTTTACGTGCTTATCTGCATACCTTTGCCTAACTTCACGCGGATAAGAGCCGGTGCATATATTTTTCAATTTAATACCATCTAAAACTTGACAGCGCGCACTTAAATCCGTTGAGCCACCAGAGAAACTGCCAAGAATATAAAATAGCAAAGCGCAAACGTTGACCGCGGACGGAGTCATATTAGTTCTTTTTTCCTGTTTATGTTGGTTTCTTTTAGAATTACAAGAAAATTTTGTTCCTTTTTATTTTTTCAAACAATTTTAATGTAAATATAAAAAATTAAAATGAAAACAATTTATTACAGGCCGAATTTCGAAGACAAAATCAAAAAATATTTTAAAATTTTATTCCTCTTTTAAGTACCAAAAAAAAAAAAAAAAAGAAGAAAATATTGTACATTTTTTTGTTCTAATACTGAAAAAGCCGAAGAGAAGAGATGTAAGCCATTTTTACAAAAATTATATTTATACAGTTCGCATCCCTAACAAAGAAATGAATTTTCAATCATTTTGCAAAAGGAACTTTTTATCAATGCGAAATTCTTAGTCCATTTAAGCATATCCATGTACAATTTGTCTATTAAATAAATAAAAGGCAAGTAAACCGGCATGAGTACTTTTTATTTCACCAATTCATAGAAAGAGCATAAATGTTTCATACCGAAGTAGTGCAATGAAAATTTTTTGTCGACCTTGATAGCAATCAGTAAAAGTTAAGGAGTAAATTATGTGATACTTACAGTCTTACGGCTTTTGTGGAGGTAATCTTTACAAATGTTCCATTCTGAATTCCAGACATATGTAGATAGCATTAATGATGATAATGACCGCATAAACATCGACAAAAAATCGAATGAGGAAGATTACCAGGCGATTAATATCGGGCATTTAATACTGGTCGAAAAATACATATATACGTAGAATGAATCGTTATGGCAAATGGGACTGTAATTACGTTTTTTGCGTGCTTCACCAACGAATCGTGAATCGAACTCACATAAGATGCCACATAACTTCTCCTCACCAAATAGTTCCTTCCCCCACCGCAAACGATAATCGACATACTGCGACTACCACAATCGCCTAGAGGTACGTAACCACCTCAGCATTTAAGCCGCATAGTCTAGATGATTTCGTTGATGATTATATGTAGTTACCTGCATTACTTTACTGTACGTGCATTTTGAGCAATTTGCATTAATTATTGTGTACAAGAATTAGAAAAAGTTGTTCTTTTTGATGCATCGCATAAAACCTTTAATGCCATGTGATGCAATGGTATACTTAACTGGTGCGAATAGATAGAACATTTAGAAAAACTTGTCACAGACCCAACTATCGTTATATTGATCGCTTCTGAATGATATTTTGGATCTATCTAAGCTTATCTATGCTCTTGCATTCAACTTCCGGGCTACAATTTTAGAGATTAATTTGATGAAACTTTGTACGCTAAAATGTTTTCGCCCTACATTTTCGCCCACTTCCCGCATAACGTTTTACTTTGAAAAGATGCATGGACAACTGGAGAATGATGGAAGGTATTTAAAAGGCGGGCCGTGCCGTACTATGGTATTTTTTTGGTTTATGGTTTTTTTTTTTTTTTTTTAAATTTTCCAATCGTCATGAATATGAAGCAGTAATTATTTCCGTTATATACAGAACTTCCTGTAAAATACAATATGCAAATAAGAAGGAATGTTAATAAAATTAAATAATTAACTAATTAATTAATTAATTAATTTAATCAGTCCGGTTATTTTTTTTTTTCTTCCTAAATGAATCGAACGTCTCCGAAGGGTGTGTTTTTAATGCACTTGTTTTAACCAATCGTATTTTCTTATGCGATTTATCAAATGCTCTCCTTCATCTAGCTTAATGTGTCTATGAGTCCATCCTTTATTCTTTTTAGCTAAATACGTCGCATGATAGGAAAATACAAATTTTTCTTTTACATTAATTGCATTAAACTAAAAGGTACAAATATAAAGAAACCAATTTGCATTATACAGGAGCCGCCTGCTACACCGTCGTCCTCCTCATAGAGAGGGCTACCTTCTACATAAAGCATTGCGGTAAAAGCTACCCTTGACTTTTCTTCACCTTCAGAACAATACGAAATCAAATCATCAGCTAGTTGAGTATGAAATGGAAGACAATGCAGTATCGCTGATTCGATATAAATTTTATAGTACTTATCGCAGCCAAAACGATGTGGTGAAGTTACCGTTATCTCGTTACAGTCAGTTAAATCGCTATAGCCATGCGATATCATGTAATAACCTTCACGTCCGTCCACTGAAAAAACTGTATAACTTTCACCAATTTCAACATGTTTATCTAAATATTTGAGTTTAACTTCTTCCGGATAATCGGCGGTACATAGATTTTTCAATTTAAAATCTGCCAAAATACGACAGCGTTTGGAGAAATCCTTTAAACCGTCACAAATACGGAATCGGCAAAGAATACAATACACTAGGAAATTTTGAACGTTGACAGCGGACAGATTCATATTAATTTTGTTTTCGTTTACGCTGTTGATTTCTCGGAGGTTTATTAACAAAAAAAAAAAAAAAAAAAGAAAAAAAAAAGAAAAGATTTTCCTATCTTTTCTGATCCAAGCTGTTTTAATATAACAATTGAAAAATAAAAATAATAAAAGCTTATTACAGTTCGAATTTCGAAAACGAAAAGAACAAAGGAAAATGTTTTTTCTGATAACATAGGTTTTTTTCTCAGTTTATTTGTCTTTGCTGGAGTAGCTTGCTGTTTTTTTACATTTTTTTTTTTTTTTTTTTTTTTTGTTTTTGTTTTGTTTTAATAATTATACATTCACATGCACATAAGAACATATATATATTTATATGTATGCATTTATAAAGATAGTTTATATATTATTTATATCGTTTTTCGTATCTTTTTTTTTCGTATTTTTTCAATGAAATTTGCATAATGTTATTATTCTTAGTTAAAGAGATTAAAAGAATAAAATAGAGAGAAATACTTAAACTTTAAACCGTCATTAGGATATGTGTAGAAATCAAAGTCAAGGCATTGGCAATCGTTGGCTATATCATAGAAATATCAAGATGAGTGGCAGAGAGAGAGAGAGAGGGAGAGAGAGAGGAGAAGAGCACAAGGATTCAAGAAAAATGTATAGAGAGAGAGAGAGAGAAAAGGAGAGAGATCGACACGAAGAGAGATAGTGAAATTAAACGATCGAATAAAAAGAAAGAACATCTCATGATAAAGAAATGCTCGCGGAGAGAGAAAGAAGAGAGCAGTGAAGAAATATCGATTAGATGGCAGGCAGTATATTGAAATGTTCAACTTAGCAATGGCAGTGTGTTGAGTGTCAAACGAATTTTTAGGAGGTAGAGATGAAGATAGTTAAAAAAAAAGAAAGCGAAGAGCATAAATGAAATCACAGGCAAGAACGTGAAAGAGAGAGATCATCTCCTGTGAGAAATTGCAGAACAGAGTAGGTATAGAAGAGAGAAACTTGTAAGAGAGAGCGTGTGTTTACTTGCGAGAAAGTAATAGAAAGAAATTTAAAAATAGTTGAAGACAAGCGAAGAAAAATTAAGAAATTGAATGCAGAAATAAATCTTCAATGCTGTATTAACTTAAATTTAAAAGAATAAAAACTCCGAATCATCTATTACATAAATCCATTCCTTTTTAGTGATTGAATCGTTTAGAGGCATCTTTACCATTTACCATAATGACCGCCGTAATAACCGCCGTGGGCAGCAGCTTTGTGACTTTCAGCAGCTAAAGCACTCAAATGAGATGCACGAGCGTGCTGTACTTCAGCTGGCTCAACAGGCACACCATTATGTAGCACGGGATAATGCAGAGGTCCTTTATAGCCACCGTAACCACCATGATGAGCTGCGGTGGAATAATGGCTAGGACCAACAACGGCATGACCGCCGGCACCATAGGGGCCAGCACCGTAAACGCCGCCATCATGACCTCCATGATAACTACCATCGTCGTGACTGGAGGGTCCGGCCTCAGCGGCAGCCTTTGCCACAGCAGCAAAGTGAGCAGCCTTGGCATGTTGAACTTCGGGGGTGTCTACTGGCACACCAAGATGATTTATAACAGGCACATGATAACCGTGGGCACCGGCATAACCACCTCCGTGACCGCCAGCATAAGCGCCAACATGACCAGCGCCAGCATGAAGTGCAGCACCCAAAGCCTTGGCATGAGCGGCAGCATGCTCTGCTTTAGCCGCTTGGACATCGGGAGTATCGACAGGCACGCCAGCCGGGGTTAAAGCAACTGGAGCAGCATATCCGTGACCATGACCCCACAAAGATCGTTTATATAAGTGATGATGACCACCGTGGGCAGCGGCAGCGGCGGCAGAAGCATAAGCAGCAGCATGAGCAGCTTTAGCGTGTTGCACTTCTGGGGTATCCACAGGTACTCCTTTATGATCAAGCACAATATGAGCCTGAGGATAGGCGTGACCGGCGGCATAATGAGCTACTGGTGCTACTGGTACATAAGCTGCTGCTGGACTGGGCGCTTTAGGTAAATTAGTACCGACAGCTTGAAAGCCATGATGAGGATCAGCAACGTATGAAACTGATTGCAAATGACCGTAACCATCCACATAAGAATAGGAGCCACGAGTTACACCATCATGCGAACGTGTCTCATGCTTTTGTGAATTTGGATCCGCATAACCATACGAATATGAATGACTATAGGGATCTAGACTGGCATATTGAGTTGAGACAGCGCCATGATAAGTAGCGGAGCAGGTGGACGCGAGTAAAGCACACAAAATAAACTGCGAATAAAGTAAAAAAGCAAAAAAAAAAAAAAACAAAACAATGATAAATAGCCGCTAATGAAGTTATCAAAATTAAAGAGCAATCAAATTTTAATTTGTTGCTAATGCTTAAAAAATTAAGGCCAAATATGTAATAACTTCATATAATTATAAGTAGATCCCCTTAACTTCTCAATGGGTTAATGGGTTAAAAAGTATTTCAAATTTTTCAAATTCGCTAATTATCCTAACACTAAAGGCTTGAAAAAGTAAGAAAAAAAAAAAAAAAACATACATAGGGAATATTATAAAAAGCGTTGCCCATGCGCTATGCTTCGCAGTTGTGTTTTTTTGTTTTTTGTTTTTCGTTTTTGTTTTTTGAAATTTTACCCACAGTTTATTAAAGAAACCAAACGTATAATTCCATATTACAATTGCAACAATAACAACATGTTGCAATTAACTTGTTGCTTCTTATATTAGCCGAGTGGAAAAAACTAAAATTATAACATTTCACAAATAAACGAATATGAGGTTTTGTTTTGTTGTTGTTTTTTTTTTTTTTAAATTTATTGTTATTTTCTTCTCTTTTACAAATCACTCGTTGACCATAGCACAGCAGCAAAGCAGCAGTAAAGACTATAAAAAAACACTACAACAATTGTGCGGTTTAGTAACCCACTGGCCGAGAGATAAACTGATTTGGTTTTTTTTTTTTTCTTTCTGTTGAATCATTTTACAACAACAAGCCACTGCGCATACATGGGGCGAATGCATTATTATTTTAAACGGTTGAGTTTTCAGTTAATATTTGACAAAAAAAAAAAAAAAAAAAAAAAAAGAAACCGTAACTTTTTTCGTAAGCATTTCCACATTCAACCACTCAACCCAAGAAATCACACAATTTTGCGTTTATTTTTATATATTTTGTAATATATTCTAATTTTAACATGAAAAACTTTTCAAAAAAAACCTCCACCTAAGTGCTTGCACTTAGAGTATTTCTCTTTTTCAACTATTGTGTGTTATAAAACAGTATGTGCCTTGACTTCATCCGAAATGTGTCAAACTTTTCGAACTTGCTAAGGCCTCAAATCAATATAATATGAAGATAAGCATGCCTCGTAATGTCAACAAGACATTGGCCTATGTCATCCTACTAAGAATTCGTATTTTTGCTATACAAGGTAATAAGGTTTGATCGGCCGCCAATATCTTGAACCTATATTTTGTGACTTGACTTTTTTTCCCACTATTCTATAGCTACAAGTCACACCGTATGCATTTCAAAACGGATATACAGACATTGACAATACCGCCGACTACATTTCTCAGCATTTATGTGAAGAAGTTTCTGAAAATTTCAATTATGGGATAAAGATATTTAATTAAAACCCTTTGCTTACGATACTTTTATTACTACTGTAATTAAGAAATTTATTAACCGATTTCCAACAATTATCAATAAAAAGGAAACGGAATTGAAACCGCTATCTCATTCCGGGCTACCATTTAGATTAGGTATATTAAAACTTCAACTCAAGTCATATAATCGGCTAAGACCGGTTATTAAATATCATCCACGTGTAGTTACAGCATAACATATCAGAACTTATAACGTCTTTTCAGGCAAAGTTCAACGCATCATAAGAACTTTTTTAAGGTGTGAGATTCAAATCTTTAATCGACCTGGTCCAAGTTTAATAAATTTAATTCTTTTTTTTTTTTGCCAAATCCCTTATTATGCTCCATCTGCTTTCAGTTTAAAGGATCAAATTTCTGGCACTTATAATAGAGAAGGTTCGAAACTGCGACTAATACGATCCAACCTTAGATCGAAATAGAGAACAATATGGCCTAAATTTAAACCGATGTATAGACCAATACGGTCCAAATTTAGAGCGCAACATTTAGATAGCAAAATTGTCCAAAGTTATACTGAAACAGAGACCGATATGGTGCACAGTTAGAAGCCTAAAGCAACTTTCTTTATAAAATACTACAAGTTAGACCTTAGTACCATACAAAGGTGTGTTTTTTGTCAGAATATTTCTCTGTTGAGGTGTTTTTTTTGTTGCTTACATTCATTTACTACAACAAATTTCTAGTTTTCATTATCTTTTGCCAAAAAAGAGATATTTTTTCACATAAGGATGTACGTGTTTCTATACATACTTTATATATTCTTTTCAATATTTTTTATACTTTATGGGTTTAAATAACACGTCACTCGAAAAGTAGGAAGATATACAGATGAAGGGTGAATCCATACGATTTTTAGGTAGTGTCAATCTTCAGACGAAACGTATCGAAATTTCATGAGCTTCCGACAAGTTACAGTTATTGTAGTGGCGCTATACACGAAATTTTGATTTTTTGATTATTTTATAAAAATCATCCTAAGAACTAATTGCGTGATGTAGTCCTAATCATTTTAGTATCGAATAAATTCCGATCGAATTCAATAGTATTCGATTCCATTCCATAACGAATCTCACAGAGTGTATGCTTCTGTTCAGAATACATGAAAGGGACAGTCTTACATCAATGAAAACAATGATTATGAATCAATTAGTGTAACAAAAGCCGCACTGAGTATTGCAAATATCAACACATACCGAATATGCTTTAAAGCAAAAGCATTGTAGGGCTAAATATTAAATCTTAACATAATAGAAAATCATACGTTTTAGTTCATCACATGTTTTATTCATACTCTTAGAAATAAAAGTTGGCCTTAAACAACCCTATCTGTACTGCTAAACCAAATCTTTCCTTTTCCTTTTCTTTCCCTAATTTTATAATTTTTTGACTTTTTTCGCAATGCCACAAATACTGTCAAGTTGATATACAAATTTGATTTTCTTATATAATTCAGTTGTTCTCTTTATTTCATTAACTATTTAACTAGCAATTTACTATTAGTTCGTGAAGAGATCATCACTTATATCAAGTTTTTTGCTTAAGTCTTTTGCTTGCAAGAGTATATATCTTCGGAAAAGGTGTCACCTAAACAATAGGACTTTAAAAGAATTTTTTTATACTCCACACCACTTGTGGTACAAGGTACAATGGTATATTAAATTTGTGACGGTGTATGCGACATCCAAGATGATTTATTATACTGATGTGAAAAAGATTCTGAATCGACTTAAGCTTGTGTGTCCGTCTGTCCACCTATCCGTCGTGTTTTTTGCGTTCACCTAAAAGGCTGCAATTACTGAGATATTCTGATGAAATTTGGTTTTAGCCCAAGATCGAACGTCATTGAAAATGATTCGGATCGGATCACTTCTTCGGCCATTTTCCATAAAACACCTTGATTGGAATTGGTCGTGATAGGAATAACTCTTTTATGATAAGGCGTCTAGGGTATTTAATGGTGGACCATGGTCACCTATAGTGTTTTACTTATTTCTTGTTTGCCTAAAAAAATGTTTATAAATAATAATCTAAATTTATAGAACTGATTAAATGTTGGGATAATAACCAATATCGGAAAACCCAATTGCGATTTTACTTATATGAAAATATTCGCGATATGCAATAACGAAGTGATGCAACCTGACATGGCTCTCTGGGCGGTCAACTGTATTTGCAGTTTTCAGGCAGTCGCAAGAATTGAAATGCAAAGCAAGTAAGAATGTTGGAGTTAGCTATGGCCGGTCACCAAATACAACAAAATCCAATTTAAACAGAAGAAGAATATGTTCCATTGTAATATGTATTTTAGCTATAAAGAGCTTTTTATATTGCGCAATGGTAATAAGTAAAAAAAACTTAAAAATACCCTAACAATGACTTTTCCAAGTACATGATTGCATGGACAGTTGATTGCAAAAATGTCTTCAGCAGAATAACAATGTGCTGTCAATGCCGCTAGACACACTTGAGCTCGGGTAGAATAACTTTTGCGAAAAGTTAGTCAAGCATAAAATGCGTAAGTGTGTTGATGTAAGAGCTTCTTCCGAAGAGCTTCTGGCCGAAGTGCCGCTCTAACTTACTAACAACAGTAAGCTTTTCTAGCTCAAAATAACGTAGATGTCAAAGGACAACTGCTTTTGCGGACGTATTAACAAGAATAAAGAATTATTTAAGATATTTGTTATTTAATAAAAAATTAAACGATACCGTTAAGTTTGACTTGTGAAATAATGAAATTATTATCAGTTATAGTTAAAACACAAATTATTATTTCCCATAAAACCCATAAAGGTAAACTTAACAGATTTATTCAACTTCGATTACTTCACTTAATTGGGCAAACAAGTGCTGCTCATGCATAAATCCATAAAAACATTGAGGAAAGAAAAAATGAAAATATTTTTAAAAGAATTTTTAAAATTTTGCTTTTTCATCTTTTTCAAGAATTTTTTAAAATGAATTTTTCTAAAGAATTTATGCAATAGTTGTACTGCAGTATAGGGGCAGCAGATTGTTGAGGAAATAAAGTTTACGTAACATTCAGTAACAATCAAGATAAAGGAAGATGAAAACAATTTCTGGTAAAACCAAAAGTTCTTCTCCATTAAGCCAACATATTTGCTTTGGAGTAAACCATTGACACTGTAATCTTTGAAAATCGCATTATTTTTCGTTTATCTTGTTTATTAAAGGCATATATCAGAAAACCAATCCAACTGTTTTCATAAAATATCATCGATCGATTTATTTTATCGGAAATTTGTTAATAAAAATTCTGCATATTTTTGCTTTTGGGTCTTTTAAGGTAATGGAAGCGCCTTTTCTAAACGGATCATATCCATTTTTTGCAAATTGTTTTTTTATTTCAACAAAATACTTTTCAGAAGCACAGCTGAGCCACTGAATCTTAAACTTAAGAACTTAGTAAACTCGAACGAATAGATGGAAAAGATCACATATTGATCAAGAATTTATTTATTTATGTTCTTCTTAAACGGATAAGCAATGCAAGTAGTGTACCCTCATAGCCTGAAGGTGGGAAAGTTGATAAAACGCCTTATAAAGATTTAGGTGCACTAATTTTGTTCATCATTGGGTGTTGAAAAAAATCTATAACTTTTTTTTTTTTAATTTTCGTAACATTTCTCTCG